TCGGAGATTTGTTGGGATAGTCTAGGTGTACCGGTCGTTCACCTGGCAGGTGAGAAGGTGTCGAACCGGATGTTCGGGCGGTGCAGTAAAAGATGCCAATTTTCCGTCGGACCAGGGGTGGCGGCTCGGCTTCTCGTGGACTTCCGATGTCGGATTACTTTTTGTGGTTCACTCAACTCTCACTCACTAACAAAGCAAATATTTTGTGTAGTTTGGTTACACTTTTTTGAGGCTGGACTGTGTCAATAGGTCTGTCAGCAGGTACTTGTCACTCCGTACAAGTGTTGTCCTTTTTTAAACCCGTAATGAATGAGTCCAGGGGAGTCCTCGTTGTCAATTTAATTTCTTCTTGCTTACGCGAGTCCGGCGTGGCAATTTCAGAAGTGGATTGGCTCAACTAGTCCGCAATAGATTCACGTGACTCAGGCGTAATTGCGGGTGAAGATGGTCTCGTCTTGTAAGTGTGACTCCGCTTCCCCGAGAGTAACTTGGCTGATGTAGGTGAGAACTGGCGATGAACTAACTTCATGAATCAATGAGACTTGACGAAATTGTTCGAAGTCGAAATTGATGTCGTACAAATGAAGTGTTGAAGTCAAGTAAAGTGTCGTACCGTGAAGTGCACTTTGCGGGTTAGCGCGGGATCATATATGCCTTCGGTGGAGGTCATCCCCCACCTAGGTCCATGGCCGTTATTTTTCAGAGGGATTAATTAATATGTTGGGATTGGTTACTCATCATGGCGGTCCGTATCTGGAGATTCGGGAGTTCATTGTTTCGTTCTGAGAGGCGGAAAACCGTTAATAGCTGCAATTGCGGCACGAGTGGTGTGATCTCCTTATTCCCGACTTATACGACGTTTCTGCCTATCAGTGAGATCTCATTAATTTCGGGTCCATTGAGAGAGAGAGAGAGAGAGAGAGATATCGCACTTCCTGTTACCCACCCGTGGGTTTGGCGGCCCTCTTGAATGCGGGGGTTGTCGCGGGGCGTTAAGCCATAGCGCGTGTAGTGTCGTGCTCCATATTTCTATTTCGCGGGCCTCTGTGGCGGCGGCTTAGCGTCATAATCCTTTCATTAGACCGACATTTTTCCATTCTGGATTATCTGGCGACTCGAGAGGCCTCGTGCCGTTTCCAGGTCTCCACCTGCGGCCAGGGGGGGAGGACACTCTTGTGTACGAGGAGCATGAGTCATCCCCCGCCTATTGGCAGCTGTTCCCAAAACCGTTAGGTTATTCCAAGATTACAAGATAGATTGATCAAGAAAAAACTGCGGTATCCGCGACAAAAACCGCGGGATCCGCGACGGTACGACTGTTGGCCATACCTGATCGCGAATCATCGTCCACGTTCGGATCACGTCACCCGGCAATTTGTTATTGTCGAAAGCATAAAAAAACAGTAAAGGTGATTTTTGAACAGGGTGCGTGGACCAAAGAATACCTGATCGGTGCGTGGACCAAAGAATACCTGATCATAATTATTAAGCGGTCTTTCGATTTTTTTACTAGTTGATTCACATTTATTTTCATTCCAAACAGTTTTGATAGCCTCAAACATGGTGGAATTGAATAGCTGTTTCATCACACGTCTTGTTCGATCCATGTAAGAAAACCTTGGGGGGGACACTCAAGCAGTCATCATCATGCGGGCCTCCGAAGGGTCAATGAATGACCATCAAAGGACAACACCTGGAAATCACAAAACACTTAGAGGAGGCCATACAAATTGCTCAAAGGCATAACTAAAGAGATCCTTTTGACTTCTTTTCTTCTCTCAATTGAACATGGGGGCACCAATATAAACAACCCTCCAATGGTAAACACAGATGAGAATAGACTCAAAGAAATAAGATGTCGGCAATTCAGAAATGGAATGCCTCAACCATTGGTTTGTCGATATCGAAAAAAGAAAAAGCAGACCAATAAGGGGGTACATCTGGCGCGAATATCTCCCCCCATTGGTTACAGGGGGTTGGCTTGAACCATGACGTCATCCGCACCCCATGCCCAACGAAAGTTATGAGGAATCACGCCTGAACAGTATAGAAGGGGCGGCTTTTCGCCAGATCAGGGCCGTCTAAATTAAATCTTCGACTCCTACTCATCTTCAAGTGGTATCCTGCTCTTCAACCAGTCGACTCTCCAAGATCAGTCTTCCACTGGGAAACTAGTTCATCCGAGCTTCCCAGCCGAGGGTTTCTGCAAGCCCAGCAACGATCTGGCAAATCTTTGAGCAATACAACGAGTTCAACCCGAGCTTCTCAGCCGAGGTTTTTCTGCAAGCCAGCCACGACCTGGTGATTTTCTCAGTATTTAACTGAGTTTACCCCGAGCTTCTCAGCCGAGGTTTTCTGCAAGCCCAGCAACGATCTGGCAAATCTTCGAGCAACACAACGAGTTCAACCCGAGCTATCAGCCGAGGTTTCTATACAAGCCAGCAACGAGCTGGTGATTTTCTCAGTATCTGACTGAGTTCAACCCGGGCATCCAGCCCAGGCCATTTCTGCCGAGCACCACAAACCAGCATCTAGATCCATTGGTCAACCGAGTTTTACTTAAACTCAGATCCACTGTCACCAGCAACACCTCCAGAGTCACCTCATCACCACTACCACCAACGAAGCGTGTTCGAGGATCTTCAGCTCCATCAGCGCTAGAGCATCTAGCACATTTTGGAGTTCTCCGGAATCCGCTACGTAGAGAAGAGCCACCGAGAGATCACCAACTCATCCCTACACCTTAGTTTTCTTCAACCGTAAGTCAGAAACAACACACCAACAACATATACAGTATTCTTACCTACACTTTTTCTGCCCCTATTCCCCGGTTTTAATCTTGGACTTTCTACTATTCTGTATTTTCAAGTGAAGTGTAATAAATTTTAAACTCTATTTAAAGGGAACTCAAGGGTATCTTCCTCTTTGTGTGCTAATTCCTCACTCAGTAACCATTGTGCAGTTCAGTGCTTAGTCCCACGCAATAGGCCCCCCATATTGAGTGAGATTTATAAGATCTTTGCTTCTCCGGACACTACCTGTCGCTGCTAGTTACGGTCAAGTTACCTGAAAGGTTCACCTTTTATCTTATATTTTGGCCTACCTAGTGAGCCAGTGTCCGCAACAATCCGTCGAAAATGTGGCATAATATTTAATAATGTTCAAACGGAAAAAAAATGGTAGAATTAAATTTTCTCCTGAGGCCGGAATCTTATTTTAAGAAGTCCACGAAAGTCAGCTGTAAGTCGTAAAACTGCAGTTGAACATATTCCGAGCTGACCTTTCTCCGAAAAGGCAGTCGTAAAATAATAGACATGCATCAAGATTTTGTCAAACTGAAAGAATCTCAAGAGTATGGAAAATTCACACTATCCCTTGTCGTATTTGGGAGCCTGTTTCCTCCGAGGCCTAGACCCCCGTAAAAATCAAATTTGAATCCGCCCTTCGAAATTTTTATGGGATTGTTCGAGTTTTTCCTCGTAACAGCAAGTCATAAACTTATTGTGACAATTTTTCTTAAATGTTTCAAAAACATTCTTTTTGATTAATAATTTTAATACAGTTAGAATAATTGCAAATATTCTGACAGTTATTTTGATATGAAAAACTTTGCGATAAGACAATTCTAAGTGTTCGGTTTTCTACCGAATTTTTCTTTCACACACACACGCACTCAACTCACCTGACCCACTCAGCTGATTGAATCGCTCACCTCAGATGACCAGTGGCCTTTTGCCTTTGACACCTGAGGCGCCACGTGATGGACAGGTGTAATTGACCATCAGGATGATCGACACCTCCCACCTTGCGGCTTATCATTCTCTCTCATTTGCATATCGACCGTTCGAGAGTGTTTACGCGCTTTTCTCAGAACTTCGCATAACGTTTATTTGATCATCTCTTTACTCTTAATTGAACCTCGTTTCCGAAAATTTGTGACGCGATTGAATTAGCTTCATCGGCTCAAATTTATTATTATAGTACAAGTGTTGAAGTGACTCTTTTTTGACAATTAAATTGACTCTTTTGACCAACGCCACGCGAGTGATTATTTGATCCTCTCACGCACTTTCTCGTAATCCGATTATATCTCGACCATCGCCTGAAAATATCCCTGAAACCAGATCCCTCTCTGAACATTTTGGTCCTTCGAGCCGGATACGCGGGATATTTTTTAGTTTCGCGCCTAATTAGTGTTTTACGGGAGTGTTAATTGGACAGCGTCAGTGTTCAGTGTTCAGTGGAGCTCAACGTGCAGAGTCGCCTCCCGAATAAATTTGAAATCGTCCAGTTCAAGCGGTACTCAACTAGTTCTTCTCTCTTCACTTCAGCGACCTGCATTACCGACCACAACCAGGCTGATATTCAACGCTACTGACAAGGCGGCAAAATTCAAATTGATGAGCTTAACTAAAGGGAAGTGATAATTATTTCTCTTTAGTTTTTAGTAAATTTTGTCACCCGATCTGACGCTTGGATTTTCTGCAGTCTCCTCTACTCTTCTTTCTTTTGAATTTCACTGCTTTTCTCTCGGTTATTGGCCTGCGTCCTTAGACTCTTCTCTCGATCATCATCGCTGAGTGAATTTCACTGCTTTCTTGCTTTCGTTTTTATTCTTTTTTTTTTCCTCTTCGCTATTTAAGATATTAAAAAAACATGGCAACTCTGGAGGCAGTTATTTCGCTGCAAATGTCTCGCGCTACCTTCATAGAAGGCATTTTTAAGGAATCCAACGAGGAGGATATTAAGCAGCTCGGTGTGACAGCTCTTGATTCCAAGCTGATGATGCTCGAAAATTATTGGGCTAAACTGGAAGCCTCTCACGTGAAGTTAGTTGCTCAAAAAATCGCGAACTTGACCTCTCTCGATTATTTCAAGCACCAGGTCTTTGATTCAGCTCTAACGAACTTCGCCACTGCTAAGGTGGCGCTGCTACAGCTATCGGAGAAGAAAGGCGCTCCAATCCTGAACCTACTAAACCTGAACCTAATCCCGCCGAGATGAAATCGCACAGCGCCTCGGACCTCTATCTCTTGACCAGCTCGATCTCTGAAGCCCTCAGCACACTTAAAGCTCTGGATCAGCCAACTGATCATTGGGGTCCTGTGGTCGTTCATGTCCTCACTCGTCGGCTATCGAACAAGCTCAGGGAGGCATGGGAGAATAAGATCGGTGCATCAACTGAGTACCCTTCTCTTGACCATCTCCTTGATTTCCTCCACGGTCGCTCTCGAGCCATGGAGACTCTGGAAGTTGGAACGCAGTCCCTCTCTTCAACAAGCTCATCTCGTCCTTCTCAAACCACAGTTCAGACTCGATCCATGACGAAGACTAGCGCCAAGGTCAACCAGATGTCAGCCTCTCGTCCTTTTCAGCAGTCGGCTCCGCAACCGCATGGTCCTTCTAAAAAAATACAGTCCACACAATCGACATCCTGGACTGACGCTGGCTACCCGTGCTCGTACTGCAAGAGGGATCATTACATCGCCTCTTGCAGTGAATTTAAAGCTCTTTCGCCCATCGCAAGGAAGGAAGTTGCCGACAAACTCTACCTGTGCTACAACTGCTTGGGAAACCACAGCATTAGAGTTTGTCAGACATCTCGAACCTGCAGAACTTGTCAGGAGAGGCATCACACACTTCTGCATCTAGATCGCTCTCGTCGCCCAGCTCCGACTCGACCTACTTCACAGACCTTCTCAGCTCAGCCTCAACATCAGCAATCCGCCAGACCTGCTCAGTTATCTGGGGTACCCTCAGTGACTTATAACAATGCTGGGGAGGTCATCCAGAGCACGCCAGCTTCTCCAACACCGCAATGAGGAGCTCAATCCCAAACAGCCATCTCTTGCTCTGCTCATAGCTCTATATAGCTCTTCTCTTGGTTCTCGACCTGGTGTCCTACTCGCTACAAGTCTTGCTCTGCTCATCAGCCCTGATGATTGTTCTTCTCATCTAGGAATCTCTCGTGCGTCAATTGAAGCTGAAGAAGCAGCGTAGCTCCATCCAGATTTCTGGTGTGGGTGAGTCGTCGTTTGGGACAAGGTCCGGCGAAGTTCATCTCACGCTACAATCGATCTACTCAGTAGAACGCATCAATGTTCCAGCTCACTCTCTTGATCATCTCACGTCTTCTTTACCGACCTTCTCAGCAGAAGACCTCGATTGGGATCATCTCGACGATCTGAACCTACCAGATCCAAATTTTCGAGTCTTTGCTCCAATTGATCTGCTCATCGGCGCTGATGTATTTGGTCGAATCATCAAGCCCAGCATCATCAAACAGGGAGCAGATGCTCCAGTTGCTCAGCTCACATCTTTCGGCTGGAATGTATTCGGTCCTACAGGCACAGCGCTAGCTCTAACACGACTTGCTCATCATTTGGCTGTCTCAGAGGTCTCCTATGATCAGCTCGAAGACCTTCTCTCTAAATTTTGGATCCAGGAGGAAGTTCCTGGAAGAGTTGACTCAGATCTCTCGGCTGACGAGCTTAGCTGTGAGCAGCATTTTCGTTAAACTCACTCTAGAGACAGCACAGGTCGTTACGTCGTTCGGTTGCCCCTCTCATCGCCAGTTTCGTTGTTAGGAAATTCTTATCGCCCAGCTCTAGCTTGTCTTCGTCGGATTATCGCTAGGATTTCCAAAGATCAGCGGTTCTTTCAGCTCTACTCTGACTTTCTCAAAGAATATGTCGATCTCGATCACATGAGGTTGGTAGTTCCTTCTCTTGTTAGCTCTTCGTCTTCGGTTCAGGTGGAGACCGCTTGTTGTTCTGACGGGATGACCTTGGCACATGAAGCTAAGGCTTCAGGAGGGTTGAGGGTCTCTGAGGAGCTTCGAGTAGGACCATCTGACATTCGCAGGAGTTATTACCTTCCTCATCATGGCGTAGTCAGAGAGAGCAGCGAAAGAACGAAACTGAGAGTAGTTTTCAATGGGTCAGCGAAGACCAGCTCAGGGAAATCGCTCAACGATATTCTCCATACAGGGGCCAAGCTGCAGCGCCACATATATGATGTTCTTCGCTGGACTAGGCAGCACAAGGTCATCTTCATGAAAGACATCACCAAGATGTTCCGTCAGATCAGAGTCCATGAAGATGACTGGCCTCTGCAGCAGATTTTATGGATCGACTCAAATGGAGGACTCTCAACGTATCAATTGACCACCGTCACGTATGGGACTAGATCAGCTCCGTTTCTCGCGAATCGTGTTCTTCTCCAGCTCGTTGAGGAAGAAGGGCACAGATTTCCCTTAGCCGTCGATCCCATCGTGAAGGGAAGATACGTTGATGAGATCTGTGGAGGTGCAGATACGCATGACCAGCTCTTAAGAACAGCTCAAAAAGTTCGCTATCTCTGTGCTGCCGGAGGGATGCCTTTGCCAAAATGGCACAGCAACAGTTCAGCTCTCCTCAGATGGCTTGATCCTGACAGCACCTCCAATGACCAGCGAATCTAGGAGGACTCAGATACCAGGATACTGGGGTTATCTTGGCAACCCAACTCAGATAACATCGGCTTCTCAACCAAATCATCGCAGAACTTGACCGTCTCCAAGCGAATTATTCTCTCAGAAATTGCTCAGCTCTACGACCCTCTCGGATTTCTCTCTCCTGTAGTCATCAGAGGAAAGATGCTCCTACAGGAAATTTGGATTGACAAGCTTGGTTGGGATGATGAAGTTTCGCCTCAAATAGCACATCGATGGAATAGCTTTCGTCATGATCTCATCGCGTTGTCCAACGTATGCGTACCCAGATAGATTGGATTGCTCCAGACCTCCGTTGTTGAAATACACGGATTCTCAGACGCCTCTCAGCTTGCAATGTCAGCCGTTGTGTATCTCAAGGTCTTCAACGATAATGAAGAGCTTCGCATATCATTAGTCTGCTGGAAAACTAAAGTAGCTCCTCTCAAACGGCTGACTATTCCAAGGCTTGAGCTCTCAGCTGCAGTTCTTCTTGCTAAGCTTGTAAAGTACGTTAAAGACCAGCTCAACTTCTATAATGTGCCTACATACTTATGGACCAACTCTTCAGTTTCGCTCACATGGATCAGATCTCACCCTTCCAGATGGAAGGAGTTCGTTAGAAATCGTGTCCAGCTCATCCAGGAATTAACGGATTCTCAGTGGTAGCTAGTTCCTGGTAAGGAGAACCCAGCTGATTGCGCATCTCGTGGATTAACCACAGCTCAACTCGGGTCGCACGAGCTATGGTGGCAGGGTTCATCATGGCTCAAGAAGAGCTCATCTCATTGGCCATCTCTGGAACTCTCTTCAGTGGGATCAGCTGATCTTGAAGAGAAACCTGGTGTAGTGCTCAACGTCAAAGTCCAGCGCCCAGAGATCTGCGATTTAGTACATCGCTATTCCTCGCTCAGTAAGCTGCTCAGAATTACTGCTCTCTGCCAACGCTTTATTGCTCGTCTCAGAAAAATTCCAGGATCTTCGTTAAAGACAGCTCTCAACCCTGGTGATATTGAACAAGCTCGTTTCTTCTGGATCAAAGCTAGTCAGTCAGCGTATTTCTCGTCCGAACTGCTGACCTTGTCCAGAGGGCAAAAACTCAGACCTTCTCATCCGCTGACTCGATTGACAGCGCATATTGATCACCAGGGGATTCTTTGCGTTGGCGGACGTCTTAAGTTTGCTCAGCTCGACAATGACAGCAAACATCAAGCTATCATTCCGAAGGAGTCTCAGTTTGCTCAGCTCATTATTCGGGATGCTCATCTCAGGACTCTTCATGGTGGAACGCAGCTCATGCTTGGTCAGTTCAGACGATCTTACTGGATTGTTGGTGGAAGAGCACCAGTAAGATCATTCATTTTAAAGTGCGTTCCATGCGCAAGACAGCGAGGAATAAGAGCTCAACAGCTCATGGGTCAGCTCCCAGTAGTTCGTCTCTCAACTGGCCGTGCATTTCTCAATACAGGGATTGATTATGCCGGTCCAGTATCACTCCGCTCATGGAAAGGACGTGGCCACAAATTTTGTAAAGGATGGCTCGCAATTTTCGTCTGTATGGCTACGTCCGCGGTTCATCTCGAAGCCGTCTCAGATTATACATCTGACGGCTTCATGGCAGCGTATCGTCGTTTTGTTGCTCGGCGCGGGCTCTGTAGGAATTTGTTCTCAGATTGTGGAACAAATTTCCTCGGAGCCGACAATGAAATAAAAAAGCTCATCTCAATGGCGTCCAAGGAATCGGACCAGCTTGCTCATCTCTTGCTCAACGACGGTACGAAGTGGTCGTTCAACCCACCAGGTGCTCCTCACTTTGGAGGAAAGTGGGAAGCAGCAGTGAAGTCGGTTAAGTTCCATCTCAAACGTACAATTGGAGAAGACCTGCTCACCTTTGAGGACCTTACCACCTTGCTTGCTCAAATCGAAGCCGTGCTCAATTCTCGTCCACTTGAACAGCTCTCGGAAGATCCTGATGACGTCTCAGCTCTCACTCCAGGACACTTCCTAATTGGACATGCTCTGACAGCTCTGCCTGAACCTTCTCTGGATCACTTGAACATCGCTCGTTTAACTCGTTGGCAGCTCATCCAGCAGAAAGTTCCGAGCTTCTGGAAAAGGTTGTCCACCAATTATCTTCAGCATCTCCAGTCTATCTCCAAGTGGCACCACCCATCTCACGATATCAAGATCGGCTCTATAGTTCTTCTCACCGACGAGAGATTTCCACCAACGAAATGGCCTCTCGCTCGAGTTACCGCTCTCCATCCTGGTAGAGATGGCCTCACCAGGGTGGTAACCATCAAGACGTTCAGCTCAACTCTTCGGCGGCCCATCGCTAAGCTCGCCCTGCTACCCATCTCGATCAGTGACTTCTGATCTTCTAGTCCAGCGCACCTAGATCTTCTCAGAAGCATCATGCTGATCTTCGTTAGTTCATCTCGACGGCTGTGTTCACCACTGCTCTGTTCTTGTCCAGACCTCGATGAGGATTTACGCCCTTCATCTTGGAGCCTGGGCTGGAGTGGAAGCCAGTCAGTTTAGATCTGCGGAATTTACACCTCCAGGGATTGTGACTGTGCTGGCAATTGACCGTCGCTGATGGACTCAAGTGGTGATATTGACCATCGAGTAATTATTGTCCTGGCTCGATTAATCTCTTTTGTGTTCTAGATCAACTCATGAACGTCAGCAGTTGCTGACGGCTGGGGAGAATGTTCGGTTTTCTACCGAATTTTTCTTTCACACACACACGCACTCAACTCACATGACCCACTCAGCTGATTGAATCGCTCACCTCAGATGACCAGTGGCCTTTTGCCTCTGACACCTGAGGCGCCACTTGATGGACAGGTGTAATTGACCATCACGATGATCGACACCTCCCACCTTGCGGCTTATCACTCTCTCTCTCATTTGCATATCGACCGTTCGAGAGTGTTTACGCGCTTTTCTCAGAACTTCGCATCACATTTATTTGATCATCTCTTTACTCTTAATTGAACCTCGTTTCCAAAAATTTGTGATGCGATTGAATTAGCTTCATCGGCTCAAATTTATTATTATAATACAAGTGTTGAAGTGACACTTTATTGACAATTAAATTGACTCTTTTGACCAACGCCACCCGAGTGATTATTTGATCCTCTCACGCACTTTCCCGTAATCCGATTATATCTCAACCATCGCCTGAAAATATCCCTGAAACCAGATCCCTCTCTGAACACTAAGGCATACTTTCGAATTATTTTGTATTTTTGTAATTTGTAATTTAAGAGAGTAATGTTTTCTGTTTTTTTCGTTTTTTTTTATTGTGTAAAAGAATTTATTTTTTTTAATATTAAATGTTATATTAATAAAATTGAATATTATAAATCTTTTTTTTTTACGGCATTGGAATAGTTATAAGTCAAAATTAGTCTACCATTTGGAATTAGCAGAGATAGAGAATTGTAAGTTTTATAAACTATATTTGTAAATGTTTTCTTTTTTTAAATATAGACTTTCCGAAGTCAGTTTATATCGAACTATGTGTTCACATTTACTTTCTATTCCTTCAATCCAGTGAAGTTAATGTTGGTCAATTATTTCAATTTAGAGTTTTCAACCAATTACAAACGTTGGCTGAAGTGAGTTACTAATAGTTATATCAAATCTAAAATTTTTGACGTGACAATAAGAACAACCAGTTGGCTGAACCTATTTGGCAAGAGACATTCAATCATTCCCTTATCAGTTAATTTTGCGAAAATAATTTATATAATTAATATATAATTTATAATTTATAATTTCTCCCAATACAATGATTAGTAAGCGTCTGAATGGATCTCGAGAAATTTTGACAATGATTTAAGTGAAAAACCAGCAAGATGGCAATCTCTTCTCAACGCACCATTCGCTTCAGCCCATTTTCAGTAGGAAATATTCTGATGATAAGAGGAAACTTTCTTCCGAATTTCAAGTTAATAAATTGATTTTCGAAAATCAGCGGGCGCGTACTACGAATTTTTTCGAGAGACATAAAAATTCAAATATCTCAAAAACTTTGTAGGATACGTCCACATTAGGCCTTATGAATTCACAAACTTCAGATTTTTCGAATTCATTTATGCTTTTATTCTCCACATTTTCTGAAAGTTGACCATCAATTAACCATTAGCAAACAATTTAGACCGTTGTAAAAAATGTGACCTTGGCAGGAGAATTATGTGAAATAATTCCCTGCGAGGGCCACGATAATTTATATGAACGGCAAAGACAGGGGGAAAACTCTTGATATTGAGGGAGGGTCGGAAATGAGAGAAAAGAGGGGTTCTAGGGAAAAATGATTCATTCGGGAGAATAGGTCTTAACAATGTCTATTTCTCTGACATCGGTGAATACAAAAAATAAAATAACAATCAAAAAGTCAGAAATTCCGGCCTTTTAAGACTAACCTAGGGAAGAGGGAAGGCCAGCCAACTTGCGGCGACACGCGAGAAAATATTATTGCGATAAATAATACAGAAAAGGGGAGAAGTTAATCGTAATCAAAAGCAAAAGAAGTGACGCGGATCGATATTGAAGAACAATTATTGGTTGGGGGGTTTCCAGTATAAAGAATATCAACTAACTAATTGTCTGCCTTTGAATAATTATATTAAATAAAGAGAGAGAGGCTCACCATTGGGGGGGACAATATGTTAGGGGAAAATTCGTGGGGGCAGGGAACAACGGGTACTCACGATAATGGCGACAAATCCACCACTGGGAAAATCATTTTCCTTTCCTCTCCTTTCTTCTCTCCTCCGTTAACTCCTCACCACGCACTTCCTCTCTTTCCGTCTTAACTCCTGGGTCTCCAAATGTCCTCCACAATTTCTCCACAAAAATCCTCCAACACTCTTCCTCAAAATTATTCTCTCCGAAAATACCCTCTTCGCAAAATTCTCTCACGCCCGGGATGGTGTTATCACGAGTGATGGCTTTTTCACTCTCCTTTCTTTTCTTTCCCGATTATCGGCGATAATCGGGGTTAATCGGGGGCGTTCATCACCGAGTGTCCTTTTCTAGTTAATTACTCTTGTGGGGGTCAGCCGAGGGATGTCTCCCTCTTCCGGGTCACGTGGTGTCGAGTTCATCAGGTGGAGGTTTTGTTCATTCGTCGTCATTTCATCCGTGGTCGAGTGCTGTGGCGAGGGGAAGCGGGGAGTGGGGGGGTTTTCTTCTTTTACCGTCGTCGTTGTCATACTCAGCTGCTGTGAGTACAGCGGCGCGGGGTAACGGTGTGGGGGGAAGGAACTATTCGGGAACTATTGGAGCCCAACGGTGACAGGTTTTATAACCTAAGTCTTGTGTTGTGTATTGTCTTGACTTAATACTAACTTAAAGCTAATTAACCCTGTTGTAAACCAAGTGTCTTAGGGGGCAGGAGGAGGGGCACAAATTGTTGCCTCGTCACAAAAATTATCAGGCAAAAGAGGGAATCGGAAAATCGAACAAGTGCAGTGCTTCCATTCGGCAGCAAACAACAGAAAAATGGCTGTATCGTTATACATATTTTCATAGCTTTGTATGGTGCCCACTGAGACGAGTATTGTGAAAGAAAAAAAATGAAATCTGTTCAGTGGTGCAGTAAATATTCAAGGAAATATATTCATGCAACAGGTGTAATATGTCTGGAACCGCTTCTCGTTGCCCCTATCTCTTCGGTGCCCACCCAAAATTTCGACCTGCAATAGTAAGAGAGCTGCAAGTGCCCACAATTTCAGCTCGCTATGTCTATTTCCAATTGATTTATTGCGTTCAGAACGTTTATGATGATGAAACATAAAAACGGTAACAAAATGAAATTTTATCAGAACGAATGTAGATATTTTTATTGATATAGATAGGACACGGCTATTTTGGAAAAAAATTGAAATCTTGACATTAGTTTTTGAGATATTCAGGAAGAATGAAATTTACCAAAGTTGCTATATCTAATGATGGCTATCATGTGTTGAAAATTCAAATTTCTACCCATAAATTTTATGGCATTTATGGTGAATTTTTTTACGATTAATCTTAAATTTTGAATTTCCCAGCACATACACACAGACATGACTTAAAAACATATTTTTTTTTGCCTTGTAGCACATTCTAGATAAGTTGCGATTGAAATTAGAAAATAGAAAAATCGGTCAAATTCAAGGCTTCCATTCGGAAACGAAAAGGAAAACGATAAAAAAAAGAGAACAATAATGGGATAACGTTGAGGGTATCTGCTAGGGATAATGGATATTGGTAGAAAATAATTGCTATTATAAACTTAACTGTAGTAGATTTGATGATAGGTAATTTTAAGATCCTTATTGTAATTCTTTCAATGAATGCTGTTAATAATTTAAGGGGCCGAAAGTTACCTCTGCCTTTTCTTCTTTGGGGGTTATTATTTTTCCTATTATTATTACTATTTTTGTAAGCATTTTACTTCTTCTGAATTTTGTTTACAAATTTTTAATTTTATCAAAGTCGTAAATATGGACTTCCTTGAGTTCTCTGGAGTATAGTAGAGCTCTGTTTTCAAAATTAGCAATGGGACTGATATTATTTGTTTTATGGCGTTGAATATAGTATAGTATTCGTCTGTCCATATCATCTTGGAATAGACCCAACCTATCATGGAGCGAAAGGGAGTTAATTATAATATTGTCAATTGTCTTTCAATTATTATAATACATACGTGCTAATTTGAGAATATAATGATCAATATGTGCAATTTCTCCTCGATTATACAGAGTTTTATTATTCACTCGATGAGGATAGTATGCGCAGCTCTATGAAGAGAAAGACAGTGTCTTAAACAATTTCTTTCGAGTAATCTTACACCCTCTGTCTGATGGGCTGGTAGGTTCCATAGGATCTCACAGTCGTAAATTATCAAGGGCATAATCAACAAAAGTAGCATATAATCATTGCTCCTTGTCCTACGTTGTTGCGTATGAAATACATAAATAACTGTTTTACAGCGCCATCTAGCATTCTGTAGTTGAATATTAGAGTTGTGGTTTTATGAATGATCAATATGACAATAACTGAATCGTCAATATGAATGCCTAGATATTTGACCGTATTTTTGTTTGGATTCATGTTAGATTTTTTGTAATAGGATCGATGATTTGAATTTCGAATTGTTTGAAGTTCGTTATATATGTACATATATTTTTTAATACCTTTGATTGTACCTCAGAACAGAATGGCCTATGTTTCGATGTGTTTCACTTTAAGTTTCAACATAGCATATATGCTATTTGCTTTATCAACTAAGATGTTTAGTCTTTTCTGTATTTTGTTCCCATCGGATGCTCTGCCAACTGAATTATCCAGCTCCTAGTCACATTTTTTCGTCAAATTCTATG